TGGCTCGACCGTGTCAATCTCGTCCAGCGAAATCTTCATTAAGAACTTCTTCACTCCCCGCTTTCGCGGCGAAAGGATAACCTCCTCTCCATCGACCCGCTGCCCGTCCTTCTCAGCCATCACATAATCCGTATCAGTCTTCTTCGATGTAGACCCTCTTGCCGACTTGGTAGCTGCCACCCTTATGGGTGTGGTCGCCATGTCCCCCTCAAAGGTTATCTTGATGCTCTGGCTCCTGACCGGCTCGATTCTTTTACTCGTCTTTATTCTCCTTGCTTCGACATTCTCCTTCATCGAAGGGAACATCGATACATCTCTGAGATCATTTGCCCATTTGACGTACTTGCGGTCGTCAAGCACAACAAGTCCCTCTTCTATTGCCCGTTTGAGGTCCGGGCAATCCCTCTTGATATGATCTTCTCCTCTACAGTAGACGCATGAGTTCCTGGGAGTAGATGCCTTGTCGTCTGCGCCTCTAGAGATCGAATTCCTGGCCGCCTAGGGGTAAGGCGACTTTGGATATGGTTCTGATGAGACGCCATATCCCCCTTTCTCATTCCGACTGCGCGAATCGTTACGCCGGTCTCCTCCAGACCCTCCTTGCTCATACTGCCCTCGCGAGTCATTCCGGCGGTCCCCCGAGTCATAGCGTCCTCTTGACTCATCGCGTCGGTCCCCTCGGTTGTACCATCCTCGCGTCTCGTCGCGCTGCTCTCTCGCATCTCCCCCGCGCTCAAACCGTCCGCGTGACCCATCTTGTCGTTCCCAGTCCCGATCTCCTCTCTCATATCTACTTCCTCTGTAGCCATCTCGACCCGACCTCTCGTATCTGTCGTCCCTATATCCATCCCGGTCTGATCTCTCGTATCTGCCGTCCCTCTCCCATCGGTTGCGGGAGTCGCCTCTACCCCGATCGGCCTCATAGCGAGGGCTTCGGGGGTAATCATCTAGCCTCCTTGCTCGCACAAACAGATCGCGATCTCTGCGGTCTCGGTTTATCTCATCGTCCCTACGTCACCATAATTCATCGTCTCTCTCTCTCCCTCTCGTACGATAATCAATCCGCGTCCGAGGATTTCTATCCTCGACACTCCTCCAGGGATCGTTGTTCCTACGGTCCCAGCGAAGTGAATAGGGCCCTCCAGGTTTGTCCCGGTAGGCCGTGACCCCTGTGGCGGTCACAATCTTTGTAACCTGTCCCGTTAATCCCTTCACCATGTCCCGTATCTCCTTCATTTCCTCAGCCACGACCTTATTCTTCTCCGACCAGGGATAATCCTTGAAATCAGGACATCTATGAGTGACATACTCCTTGTAGAGAGAGAAGTCACGTCTCCTCATCCCTCTCCACACCAAGTCCTTGTAATCGTCTGCCTCTGCCTTTATCGCGAGCTTTAGGACTTCTGGGAAATCAAGCCTGCCGCGCGGAAGATCTCTAAGTATACTCTTTTGCCTACCKTTGGACAAGTGTCCGATGAAGATAGTACARCGCTCGACCTCTGAGATCTTCCCCTTCTTCGTCAGCACGTCGGAGATCTTTTGGAAACGCATCCCAAATGCCCGTACGCTCTCATCTTCATCTTGAGTCATTGTTTCAAGGTCCTTGATGGAATACTTGTTATCCTCCAATTTGTAAAGCTCAACGAGGTTCTTCTTGTACGTAGTCCATTTTTCATCCTTCGGTCGAGCTTCCTTAACTTCCCTACCAAGACTCGGGTCCACATTAAATAGGAARTTCTCTATAATCTCTTCCTCCGACCACTGACTCCGGCTGGCGTGAAGCTCCCACTTCTCCAGTTATTCTGTGATACCATAGCCCCTGAAGGTAGGAGGCTCTGAGACCTTGTGCGTACTAATATAGCGATCCTTGCTCTCGTAAGGGAGTGGATGTGACTCCCCTGTCTGGGGGTCGAAGACTCGCCTGGGCGGCGCCCTGTCTCTATCTCCGTTCCTCCAATAGGAATCCCTCAAATTCTCTCTCCAGTCGTCTCTGTACCTGTCCGCTATGGTGTCCCTCCGCTCGTACTCGGGGGAGCGCCGCCTCGTCGCTTCTCGTCGTCCGCTCGAGGTACCCGTCCTTAGAGCCTCCTGCGGCTCTGTCGCAACTGGTTCGCCTCTCATGTCGGACCCTCCGTCATTGGTTTGGTCAACCCATCTCAGCGGTGCTTCTTGCCTAATTCGTTCCTTCAAATCCCTCAGTGCTCGATCGGGCGATGTCCTGTACTCCTCTCCTACTTCGCCCGTGGTCGGTTGTGGCTCCATCGTGTCTGGTTCCATAGGCTACCAGGAGTTGTAGTCGGGCACTTACGCCAGGCGTTACAGCCCGGACCTGTGACAGTTTGAGCAGTCCGGACCAGTGACAGAACTCGCGACCCCGACCTGATGTCAGAACCGGCAGCCCAGACCCAATGTCATGACTGGCAGCCCGGACCTATTTGTGAACAGTCCCTTATGTCCTAACAACTACGCTAGGAACTTCTTCAGTTGGGGCGTTGGGCTGGCTTAAAATTAGAGCTTACGAACAACAGCCCGGCCCAATTTTGAGTGGCCCAGGGGCGCCACAAACCCTGGTTAGCAGAGCCCAAGAGAAGGAGTGGGCGGGAGGGCCGCAACCCTGATCAGCGGCACCCTGCAGTATGCAAAAAACTTAGTGAGAAAGGCGGGGGGGATGGGGGAACACCTCTAACAACAAACTATCATATGAGAAAAGGAAGACTCGAAACAGTCAGAAATCGGGATGTGAGAGAAACTCAATTGACATTGGTAGAGAGAAGTACAGAAGGAATTAGAACGAGGGCGCGACGACAGCCTAACTGGGACTTTCCACAGATCGACCGAGCCCTTGCGACTCGGAGCCGCACTAAAGTCGTACTAATCTAGACTGATCTAAAAAGGAAAAGGTGTTGAAATCCCGGTTTCGGATTGGCCTATAGGTCTTATATTCGAGTTCCCTCGAATATAAGGTGTGGGCTCAACTCGAGGGACTTCTGTTTACTGCACCCTCGAATAGGTATCCGAGCAACGGACCCTGTCCCCTAGTCAAAATTCAAAATTAAGAGCCGAGCGTACTCACTCTTTGAATTTTTAAGCCTTTTTCGCAATTTTAAGAGATTTTTAATCATCTAAATTAATAAAAATTGCTTATGAACAAGAAGAAAACACTACCTTGCGCTCAGCGCATAGGGGGATGTAATAAAAACCCTAGCGAGCCGCGAGTTATGCACGGGCTTCCTTCTACCCCTTGCTGTTGATTTAATCCGAATATTTGACAAATAATTATAAACAAATAACTTTAATAACTAAAAATTTCCGTCACTTGCCTCAGGCCTTTGGGATCAAGCCAGTAGTTTCACCCGAACCCAGGTTACCGCAGCGTCTCTTTCCGTTCTTCCTCTAGGGAATTCTTTTATATTTTCTAATTATAAATTAAAGAAAATATATTTAGTTGGGATAAAATCTCTTTTTTTTGTTTATATATATTAACGATGAATACATATATAACCCCGGCGAGTTTGAAGATTTTTAGGGGTAGAAATAAAATCTGGGGAATTTACTAAAATTTCGGTAGCGTTTCGCCTCCCCCCGTTGGGATGGGGTTCGGGACTATTGTCCCTAGACAAATGCTACCTACCCAGAACTAAAGGCAAATGAAACAAGAGGAAGGCCGCTGAAAGAAACAAATTTCTAACGTCTTTTTAATTAATTTCCTTAATCGCTTTCAATATATATATATATATATATATATATATATATATATATAATAATTTAAATTAAAAATTTTTGCGAAGTTTCGGCAGCATTTTGGCTTCCCCCCGTTGGGGTAGGGTTTCGCCGAAGACCTCAAAATGCGGAAGATTAAGAACTCAAATAGTATCTCAATTTTTAGCTAATTTCCAAGTATTTTCTTTAATTATTTAAGATTTAATTGAATAAAATTCAGCAAATTGCCGAGTAATTTCGGCAG